ATATTTTACTTAAGTTGGGTTGTTTCCAAAAACGGAGGCCATATTTCATTCTTCCTAAAACAATTCAGAAACAGCTCACAAGAATATTCTTTTTAATTGTATATAATTTATATTTTTTCAAATTTAAGATTCATGTAAATATGTTTTGTCTGCATGTATGTCTGTGTACTACAAGCCAGTAGTGTCCTTGGAGGCCAGAAGAGGTTGTTTGATCCCCTGGGACTAGAGTTACAGCTGCTCTGTGGGTTCTGGGGATTGAACCTGAGTTCTTTGGAAGAGCAGCCAGTGCTCTTCATCACCAGAGATCTCTCCATCGCCTATGAATAATTTTTAAAAAATTATTCTTCCACCCTCTCTCTCTCTTGTTCTTCTTTCTTCACTTTGTGTATGCAGGTGGCGGTTACTGTTTTAAGTGTTAGTTAATGGTTCTATAACAGATTTGCTTGGTATTTGATACTTTGTTGGATATTTTTCAGACTCAAGAGTGTTCTCTTCATCAATTCCTTTGCTAATTTTAGGAAAATTAACTAGTTTTAAAGAATCTTGGTGATTGTCTCTGTTGGACCTCCTGGCTTCTTTCTGCTAATTGTCAGTATCACTTATTCTCTCTCTCTCTCTCTCTCTCTCTCTCTCTCTCTCTCTCTCTCTCTCTCTCTCTCATAAATGCCCTTCAGTCCCAAGATTTAGTAGCAATAATTCAATAATATCTCTTTTAGTGACTTTCCTTTGGGTCATTAGAAGAAAAATGATTTCTGTAGAAATAATCTTCTATATAAATGTTAGTGTAGGGCTATTTTACTGGAGGCTACAAAATGACCTTCGGAAGTATATTAAATTGACTTTGCAGGGTCATTCAGATCTTTCCTTCATTCCTCTTTGGAAGATGTGCTCTGAAATCCTCTGTCCTGCTTCAGAGCATGTAAATAGCATTATGCACAAAAATTTTTTTTCAAGCTGTCAAGAGTAAAGTAAGTATGATAATTTAGTATAATTAAATGCCTAAGACAATCAAAATAGAACGGATCCTGGTAAGTTGTTCTCACTTGCAGGAAACTTCTTTTAAAGTAGTTATCCATGTTGCAATAATGCTGTTGAAAATCTGTAGTATAAGCCAGTCATGGAGGCACATGTTTGCAGATCAAGAACTCGGGAGGCAGAGGCAGGAGGATAAGGTCAGTGTGGTTTACACGGGGTTTCTGGCAGTCAGGGTTTCACAGTAAGATTTTTGTCTTTAAACACCAAGACCAAAGTTATAGCATAAGAGTCCACAATATGCAATATTTTACAATCTTAAGGAAGAAGGCAAGATGGGCAGATGGACCAGCTGGTAAAGTTGTTACCTTTCTAGCAGCACATATAAATTTGCATGTGAGAATGGAGGGCTTGGAATCCCAGCACTGGGGGTGCAGAACAGTAGATTGCTGGAGTTTATTGGCCTGACAGACCAGCCTACTTGGTCATCTCCATGCCAGGGAGAAACTTTATGATGAATGACACTTAAAGATGTCCTTTAACCTCCATATGTACACTCACACCCCTATGAATATCCATCTACACATATACATACCCCCTCACAAAAATGTGCACACACACAAAAGTATGTATATATGTGTATGTATGTATATGTATATATATGTATATATATTTATATTTGGACATAAATATATCTTTAAATGAAGAAAGATTGTAAATAATTCATGCAATATATACATATGATCCTGTTCATAGAAGAAATAGAATTAAAGTATGTGCAAAGTGGGGGGCTGGAGAGATAGCTCAGTAAAGTAGCTGCAGTGTGTGGTGGCTAATATTACCAACTCAACAGGATCAAGAATTGCCTAGGAGACAAGCTTTTGAGCATACCTGTGAAGGATTATCTAGATTTGGTTAAGTGGAGTGGGCAGACCCACCTTAACTGTGGACGGCACCATTCCATGTGCTGGGGTCCTGGAGGAATACCAGGGAGAAAGTGAGCTGCATTGAGCACTTAGGGCTCTCTGCTTCCTGATTGTGAATACAATTTGATCATCTGACCTAAGCTCCTGCTGCCAAGACTCCCCAGACACACGTGGCTGCACCCTTGGACAGTCAGCTAAAGCAAATGCTCTCCTCTTTAAACCGGGTCTGTTAGAGCCTCTTATCACATTAGCAGGAGAAGCGATTGAGATGGGAAACTGAAGCGGTGTGAGGTCACTGCTGCAATAAACTGGCTTCCGTGGTCCTTAGGCCTTTGGAACTCGTTTGCAAGAAGAATGTGCAAGAGTTTGAAACTTTGGACGAGACAAGCCCTCGAATACTAAAAGCATTGCTTAATGGTGTGTTCTGGTAGGAACTTGGAAGACAAGCATGCTTAGAGAAAACAGGCAGCAGAGGCTCAGTTCACAAGGTTCCAAAGGGAACAAAGGCTATCAAGAACTGGGCTACGGGCCAGCTCTTGTTACATCCTGGCAAAGAGTCTGCTGAAATTCTGCGTGTGTCCTGAGAACTTGTGTGATGGTGAATTAAAAAGTTGACAGAATTTCCAGACAGCATATTCACTGGCTGCGGTGTGGCTGTTGTTCAGTTCTTTGATTCAGATCTACAGTGAGATACAGTGAGCCACAAGATTGAACCTCAAAATCAAAGGATTTTAAACAGTGCTGGGATTTTTAAAGACTATACAGATTTTGGAAGTTGGACCAAATCCATTTTGCATTATGGGATATCCATAAGCCTGCGGAGGTGCGCTGAAGAAGCTTCTAGCTTAAAAGTAATGTGTTTGGGTGTCATGTTGACAAAAGGTAGAGATGTGATGGTTACTATTGTCAACTTGACTGGGTGTAGAATCACCAATGAGACAAGGTTTTGCGCCGCCTGGGAGGGGTCATCTAGTTTAGGGTAATTAAAGTGGGAAGACCCAACTGAACTGTGGACAACACCACAGTATTCACTGTTTAACTGGAATTAAACTTTACTCTGTGTCTTGTCTTTCATTTGTTAAATGTAGCAACTCTACTTTATGGAGACCTTTTCTCACCCTGTGCTACTATCACTAACATGGTTATAGAAATAAATCATGCCGGGCGGTGGTGGCGCACGCCTTTAATCCCAGCACTCGGGAGGCAGAGCCAGGCGGATCTCTGTGAGTTCGAGGCCAGCCTGGGCTACCAAGTGAGCTCCAGGAAAGGCGCAAAGCTACACAGAGAAACCCTGTCTCGAAAAACCAAAAAAAAAAAAAAAAAAGAAAAGAAAAAAAAGAAATAAATCATAATAGATACCCGGAAGGAGAATAATTAAGGAGAGCATAATAACAACAGTTGATTTGGCTAAGTGTATCTCAATTCTCGTGGACATCCTTTGAATTTTACTTGTGGTTCCAGTAGAACCACATGTAGCAGAAACACAGAGGCCACACAGCATGTAAGTATAGGAGCTGCAAAAGAATTTGTTTCTGGTTCTAGCTAGCTGCTAACTGCAGAGGAAAAATCGAAAGACACTCAGGTGTACTGCTTACCTGGCCACCTACAGGCATGCCTGACCTTTGACACTGCATGGTGACACCATCATCTCTGAAGTTCACATGGGAGAACCACGTAATTGGGTTACAAAACAAATATCTGTTTTGAGTAAGTTTGTAGTGTGTGTGTGTGTGTGTGTGTGTGTGTGTGTGTGTGTGTGTGTAGGATGCATTCATAGCCACCTTTGCCTGCAGGCTGAATATATCCTAAAAGACTGGGACTTTGCATAAGTCTCCTGATCTGGCCTAGATGTACAGACATGAGAAGCAGGCAGACCTGGGGCTGGTTCCATCTCCATCTTCCCTGTGACAACGTCCTGTGCTTTACAGTTTCCTCATCCGTAAAACTGGAGTGAGAAGATTTATCTTGGTAGTGATGTGCAGAGTAAATGGGGCAAGTGTTATCAAGTGGTATGACTAGGCAAGCTGAAGACAATCGATGCTGGGTCATATTAGCTCAAAGCCGTAGTTTTTGTTTGTTTGTTTTTTAAATTTGGAAAACTGAACAGTGAGGACATAGGGCAGGACAACAGTCCTAATGCTACTGTATCTTGCCTCAGAGGTGTTTTGAGGATCAGACGAGAGCATGTGTTGTTTTTCTGAATTCTAAGGAGCCGGCCGGATCACAAGAGCATTTGCTCTTTTGACAGAATCAGATTTAAGACCATGATAGAGGTTCAGAAAAAATTCTTCCCATGCCATTTACTTTACTACAAAAATTAGGCAGTAAAATTGCCTTTTTCAGTGTATAGTCTTCTGAGTTCTAGCACATGTATGGATTTATATAACCATCTCCATGATTGCCATATACAACACGACTTCAGCTTCTGAGTCGTTTTTTTTTCCCCCAAAGCTTTTCACATTTGTATTGCAAAAACACTTTTAAAAATAAGAGAAAGGGATTTAGATAAATGTGCTGAAGATGCAAATTAATGAAACTGTCTTTTTTGTGCAAATCTCTGCAGTCTCCAGGCTCTGCAGCTTTTTTCCTGGGCCATTTTGGCTGGTGTTTGTGTAAACTCTCTTTCCGCAGAAGGAATCAGCCATAGATTCAGAACTGGACCACCACAGTAAGGATGCATGTTGTAGGAACAACCTCTAGCATCGTCAATTCGATCCCTTTTGTTTGGCTGGTGTTCATTTCCCCCAGACATGTTTCTCCTGTCATTTCCTCTCTGAAATGAACAAGACTGGAATAACCCACACCTTTTACATTAGGGAAAATTATTTGACTGGGGATAAGAAGATAAAGAGTTTTTGAAAGAGCAATGACAGGTCGTTCGGAACTCCAGATCTCCCCGATTTAATGACATTGGTCCTATAAGCATTCCAGCCCTTTCCCTAATCCATCATCCGGCGCCTGCCAGCGCCCCCTGGGAGACAGGCTTTGGGACAAACTTCTTTCCTAGGTCAGCCCGCCCACCTCCCGCCGCGAGCGCTCCCTGCGTAAGTGACTTGTGCTGACACAACGCACCGAATCTGGTGGAGGGGAGCTTTCCGGGTGACTCACGTCTTTGCTATTTGCCTTTGTTTCTGGGCTGTTTTAGCTGCCTTTTTCTTCCCTCTGGTTTTAATTTTGAGAGGGAGGGGGGGAACCCAACCTCATAATGAATCAAGAATGAGTGTTCTTTCCACTAACCTTCCCCCACTTTAAAGTTGACTCTCTTCACAAGTTTCATAACTACCCAAGGCGTGCGGGGGTGGCACAGGTAGGAAGGCATCAACTAACTACTCCTGAATCTGAAGTTGCCAGCCTTAACCGAGCCACGCGAGAGGAGACTTTCTGAATCTCCCTCACAACCCGGGCGTTTGCCGCGGCGGATGTAACGTGTGCAGCTCGTTCCTTTCTACTGCTGCTTTGCCTTGATGTGGGTCACGCTTAAATCCATCCCAGCACTGCCAGCGATGCCCGAAGCAGCGTGAATTCCAAGAGATCCACCAGCGGTTTTGTTTCTGTCCAAGGTAAATACGCTATGCAAAATACGGAACCACCAAAGGATGCCAGGGAGGGGGAAGAGAAAGGCAGCTCCTCTTTCCCGGGCGCGTGGCTCGTGTAACTCGGACAGGAGAATGCGCGCAGCCCCGGTCCCCCTCGTCTCCCTCCTTAAAGCCCCCACCTGGCAGCCGAGGTGGGCTGTGCGGCCGCAATCTCTCCAGCAGCCCTGGCCCTCCCCCGCCCCCCGGCTTGGTTTTTCCCAGCCGTGGAGGTTGGGCTAGGGGCTTGGGTGCTAGGAGAGTCGGCGCCCGCCGCGGGAGCCCGGAGGGCGCGGGGACTCGGAGTTGGCTTTAGAGGCGCCGGGCGCGGAGGTGAGAGGCGGGGATCCAGCCGCCAGGGCAGGAACCTGGAGGCGGGACCGGGGCTTCTTTCCACCACTGGGGCGTGGAGGGAGCGGGGGTCCTGACTACCAACCCGCCCACGGTCCCAGGGCCGCATTGTTGGCGGGTTCCCTCCCCCTCTCTGGAGACGCCTGGACCCTCAGGGGTGCTGGAAGGCCGGGAACTGGGAAGTTGGGAGTGGGCGACAGCTGTCTGGCTCCGCACTCCTTTCCCCCACTAATTCAAGAAGGTACAAAAAGAGATCGAAAGAGTCACGTAACCCGAAACTTTGCTCTCATCCCAACCTGGGCGGGGAGGAGCGGCAGGGGCGGGGACCCCGGAAGGCAGGTGGTCGGCGGGGGCGGTAGAAGCGGGGATCCTGGGAAGGGAGAAGTTTGCTTGCAGGACACAGCCGGCTCTGCGAGAAGTTCTAGGCGAGAGAAGAGTGTGATCCCCGCAGAAGCAAGGCGGGAGGTGGCTCTGGTACAGATGTGAGCCCGGAAGAGGCTGGCTTAATGCTCGGGAGTGGGGACCGCGTCCCTCTGTAGGGAAGGACGCACGCGGAGGCTAGGGCCCGGTGGGGAGGGTGGGGACAACTTGGCTCGTCCTCGGGGCGCCGCGATTATCGCCGCTCCTCACACTTCTCTCCCGCTTGTCCCAGGTCGCTCATCCGATCCTGCCCTGCGAAAGGCGCCAACAAAAGAGTCGAGGAGGTGCCACTCCGGCGGCTGCGGGAGGAGGAGCGCTGAGGCCCGTGTCGCTATCGGCCGTGCGTACTCGCTGGAGGGAAGGGCGGGGAGCCGCTCCGGGAGGGGGACGCCCGGTGGCGCGGGGTAAACCAAGTTCCGGCTTTGGTGCCCCCCCCCCTCCCACGCTCCCTTTCCTCCCAGGCAAGGAAAGTTTGCAGGCAACGCTTGTGGCCGGCTTGCGCCCGCGGGGCCCAGCGGGTCGAGCCTTGGGAGCGGGCGCCGTCCCAGCTCCGGGGAGCCGTGAGTAGCGATGCCTGGGGCGGGCTCCCGGGGCCCCGCCGCCGGGGACGGGCGGCTGCGGCTGGCACGGCTGGCACTGGTGCTGCTGGGTTGGGTCTCCGCGTCGGCGCCCAGCTCTTCGGTACCCTCGTCTTCCACCTCTCCGGTGGCCTTCCTGGCCTCGGGGTCTGTGCAGCCTCCGCCAGCCGAGCGATGCCCCGCGGCGTGCGAGTGCTCCGAGGCGGCGCGCACGGTCAAGTGCGTTAACCGCAACCTGATGGAGGTGCCGGCGGACCTGCCTCCCTACGTTCGCAACCTCTTCCTCACCGGCAACCAGATGACCGTGCTCCCGGCTGGCGCTTTCGCCCGGCGGCCTCCGCTCGCCGACCTGGCGGCGCTCAACCTCAGCGGCAACCACCTGAAGGAGGTGTGTGCAGGTGCCTTCGAGCATCTGCCCGGCCTGCGCCAGCTTGATCTCAGCCACAACCCTCTCACCAACCTCAGCGCCTTCGCCTTTGCAGGCAGCAACTCCAGCGCCTTGGCCCCCAGTCCCCTGGTTGAGCTGATCCTGAACCACATCGTGCCCCCTGAGGATCAGCGGCAGAACGGAAGCTTCGAGGGCATGGTGGCCTTCGAGAGCATGGTGGCCGCTGCCCTGCGCTCAGGTCTTGCGCTCCAAGGGCTGCGTCGCCTGGAGCTGGCCAGCAATCACTTCCTTTACCTGCCTCGGGACTTATTGTCCCAACTGCCGAGTCTCACGCACCTGGACCTTCGAAACAACTCTCTGGTGAGCCTGACCTATGCGTCCTTCCGCAACCTGACACATCTCGAAAGCCTCCACTTGGAGGACAATGCCCTCAAGGTCCTTCACAATTCCACCTTGGCTGAGTGGCAAGGCCTGGCTCGTGTCAGGGTGTTCCTGGACAATAATCCCTGGGTTTGTGACTGCTACATGGCTGACATGGTGGCCTGGCTTAAAGAGACAGAGGTGGTACCCGATAAAGCCAAACTCACCTGTGCATTCCCAGAAAAAATGAGGAATCGTGGCCTCTTGGACCTCAACACCTCCGACCTGGACTGTTACCCTCCCCTCCCCCCATCCCTGCAGACGTCCTATGTCTTCCTAGGTATTGTTTTAGCTCTGATAGGCGCTATTTTCCTCCTCGTTTTGTATTTGAACCGTAAAGGCATAAAAAAGTGGATGCATAACATCAGAGATGCCTGCAGGGATCACATGGAAGGGTATCATTACAGATATGAAATCAATGCGGACCCCAGGTTAACAAATCTCAGTTCCAATTCGGATGTCTGAGAAACTGGACTGGCCAAGGACAGCTCTGCATGAGATGTAGACTTCGGTTTGTTTGTCTGTTTTTGTTTTTTTCTCGTTTTCCCCTTTACTCGGCTTGCTCCACCTCCACCCTCCACCACCAGCACCAATGACTGATGTGAAAGCAGTGAAGGGATTTTGCTTCCTTGTTATGTAAAATTCTTCGTGTGTTCCGTTAATGTCAGAACGTGAACAACTGTGCATACAATGTTAATTTACCCTTTTCCTTCCGGTACTCCTTCATGCCTGCGGAGGATTTTTTTTTTTTTTACAAAAGTTCCGGCATGGACATGGACTCTTCCTTATTAACTCAGTTCAAGGTTTAGCAAAGATAGCGTTCAACGGAAGCTGCCTCAATTTTTTTGAGAAAAATAACGTTATTCATAAATATGAGTTTCATCCTCACCTACCTGTATTATGGAGAAAATAATTGCATCCCCAAACTGCCTGCAGACCTTAGCAAGCTCTTACCTAGAACTTAGTGCACCAGAGCACCTGCATCCAAGAGCATGCTTACATTTTACTGTTCTGCATATTAAAAAATTGCAACTTCAGATAACTTCTTTGACAAACTAAATTACTTTTTGATTGCAGTTTATAGAAAACTGTTTTAAGGTTTTTTTTTTTTTTGTTTGTTTGTTTTTTATAAACTGCATTGAGATCCAACAGACCGGATTGTTTAAAAAAAAAATCAATAAAGAGTCTTAAAAGAAGCATGGTGTGTTCAGGTTTGGTATTTTGAAAGGAGGATTAAAGGCAGTGGTATTGAATGGTCTTGGTTCAGATGATAAGTTATTAGTTAGCAGACCTGAGATCAAACTGGAGCGGTGTCTTATATAAATAGAAAAGATACTTCTGAAATGGTGGATTCTTTTAGGGCTTAAATAGAATTAAAATATTTATAGCCAGACTACTAAAGGTCCCCAAGTTAATGGTGTTCATTGTTGTGAAGTTGGTAATAGCAAAGAGTTCTTTATGATAAACGTCTCACAGCTGCCACTTTGTATAGACTAATGAAATTATTAAGACAGAAATAGTAAAATTGAATGAAGTTGCTCCATGGAATTTTAGAGCCAAGTATGATTCATGTAGCAATAAATGTTTGAAAACAAAGTATCTTAAAATATGCTGGAATAAAATATTTTTAAAGCACAAACAATATTTTCAGAGGTCATAAATTGGAATTCAGAGTCCTGAGAATATTTTTTAAATTTTCAAAATGGATCAAACAAATGTATTTTTTAAAAATTACCATTATTGCATTTAAGCTTAAAGAGATAACCAGAGATAAATATTTGTATCTAGGAGCAAGTGTCATAAGTAATTATTGTGTTTTTATGTTCAGTATTTAAGAATTTGAGGGCTTTTTAAAAAAGGCTAAGCTCTGAGCTCTATGTAAGTGTATATACCTCCACAAGGAATAAATCACATAAGGAATAAATTAAAGCAATTCTTCATTAACACTCTTGTCCTGTAGTCTTCTAGTTCATCTCTATTCCCCTGCCTCCTGCCATCATTGGCCACTTACAGTGAAGAGTAAATTTCATTAATCTGTCTCCAAGCCATCATATAAAGGAACTTAAATTTAACCATTGTTCTCTAACTTAAAATAGGAGGACACTTAGAGCAATAAACTTAAGGACCCGTTTTCATTTTAAGTGATTCATGTCTACAGTACTTTACATTTTAAATAAAACTTACACTTTGCTATTTTTATAAATAGATAGATCAGACCTTAAGTTATAAATCTCTTCTTGCAGTTCAATTCAGGAGTTTTCAAAACTATGTGAATCTATTCGTTGCTTAGAATTGGTTATATTGTCTAGTCAGAATATGGGGCTTCAAAAATCTTCAGCTGTGTATGGCTTATTTTGTGAAATAGTATTCATTATGTATGGGTAATATTTCTGACCCTATAATTACCTGAGTAAAGACTAAATATATGATACTTAGTGTTTCATTAAACATGGTAAGTGTTTATTTGGCATTTATAAACTGGCTAACTGCCACTGTTTTCAAAGAGTAATGAAGATGTTAGTCTGTCAAAAACAGTAAAAATACCTAATAAAATAGTAGAAATGAGCTACTGATGACAGGTTGGTGGATGTGTAGATATTATACAGTACTGACAGAGCCTGCATTACAATGGTTATTTCTTTGCCAGCTGATAGTTGAACAGTTAAAAATTGTGCATTATTGAAGATTCAGGAACTCTGTAGGATCATTGGCTTTTTCTTTTTTTCTTTCTTTCTTTTTTTTCCCCTAATCATCTCCCAAAGCAGTGATGAATCCGATCGAATGAAGATGATTTGCCTGTTTGGAGGTGGCTGTTTTGAGGTGGTCATTCTTCCCTCCACCCCACCCACCACTTTCCTCTCCTGCATGAACCTGCTAATGTACTAGAGCCTTGTTTTGTACCGTCATAATATGTGATGTCTAGAAGCTCACAAGCATTCTAAGTTCCTTGGAAGACCAATGCTATATAAACACAAGAAGCCTATGGGGGTAATAGAAAATGTGAAACATAAAAGTTGTGCCTTTATTTAAAATAATCACACTTGTTATAAATACTGTTCTTTACCATTATATGTTGTTCTTAGAAACCTACAAGGATTCCACTATAAAACTAAATTTTGGCTGTTGTTATTTCAGAAGGTAAGAGTTCAGCAGACATCCCTTATCCTTAGCGAATTTCATTTGAAGAAAGTTAGAAAAATGCATCTTTTTATCTCCTAATTTGAAGAGCTATTCAAATATCTAACACATACCTAGTTAGTGGCAGTACAGCTACTTGACCCACATCAGTGCTCTCCGGTGACATTCACTCGTCAGCATTAATTCTTGTCAGTTCAGCTGCCCCGAGTGCGAGACACTGGTGATCTCTAAGCTTCCTAAAACAGGGAGGCTTTGAAACACATCTGATGGGTTGATTTTGTTTGTTCATTTTAAGGAAGGAAAGTTCCACACTGAAAGATGAATGGGAAGGGTGGGTTGAAGCACATGGGTGACTCACAATTAGTAAGTTCTCAGAAAACATGAAGATTGACAATGTGAATTAATGCTCATTGCAGTATCTAATTAAAAGTCACTCACCCCTTACTTTAGCATCTTGTAAGAGTGGCTGTGGTACAAGGCAACCAATCTATGGCTTACTTCCTCTGGCATACTTTCATTCTTCTCCCTTGGGCCTAGGGTTCTAATAAGCTTGCTTTGTTGAAGAGTTAGAAGCTTTGCTGCTCAAGTTTGCTAGAGTTCATTCTTTCATGTCATTCCCACTTTGTATGTGGATTTTTCTCCAAAGACTCCGATAACAGATACCATGAGGAGCTGCAAGGCTAAGGCATGTGCTTTCTTCCTGCTCTGAAATCCCCTAGCCGTCCAGCCTTCAGAGCAGCATCAGGAAGACACGACTTTCATAAGGTCAGGTAGGGGAGAAAAGGGAGGAAATTCTATTTGTGGATAACATATGAAAACTCGTTAATAATTTCTTAGAAGGGTTCAGCAGCGCGGCAGAAGTGTGGTAGAAACGGGTAGCTTAAGAAATCCTGTGCGGTGCTGTCCTGTGTTACTGTCTTCTTTCAGATGGGGAAAACAGCTCCTTGAAGGTTTCATACAATTACCTTTTCATTCTTCTCCTTGGAGACTGGATTCACAAAAGCTGGCTTTTCCAATTGTGTGTTTTATCTGAGAACATTTTAGCAGCTCGGTCATTGCCATGGATTTAAAAAAACAAAAACCTAGACTTAAAATGGTTTAAGATACGGTTTATATATTTACAGATGCATGAATTCTTGGTGCTTCAAACTTGGAAGGGTGCTTAGACATGTCGAGCAAGTGTTCCATTCTACAAATGAAAAAAAAATGATGACTGAGTTGCCCGTAGTATAATGCCAGCCATTCTAGAACCAAGATTCTGAGCTACCCATCTCCCACCCTGATTGACAGATGGCAGTATTGCTCATTGCCTACCTTAGAAATTCCCAAGTCTAATTTTTAAGAAGACAATTTCCTTGGTGCATTTGTACTGTGTTTGAGTGAGGGTTTCAATCTCCTTCAGATTTTTCTTCAAAATTAGTAACAGGTACCATGCTTCAGGTCCCTGAACATATGCTAATGTTTTTGAAATAATACTTTCCTGATGGTTGCTACTATAAAACATCTCTATCTATAGCATGATAGGAAATAGTTTTATAATTGTATTATGTATAAATTGTACAGAAGAGTGGATTTTACCACAGCATTTTCATATATGCCTGTTCACCTCCATGATAGGAAGTGTTTTGGAGACTCTGTGGTGATACTTGGATTGGAAGGACAGAAACTCTGGAATGCTGGGTAATGTGTATAATTCTATTTTGAAGAGGAATGAGTTCAGCTGGTGAGAAATGAAACTTCATGGCCACGAAGTTTGTCACCAGGTGAAAGCGTCAGTTTTGCATGATTATGGTCTGCTCTCTTGCTCATGCCTATGCCAGGGAAGCTCCGGCAATACAAAACATTCTCACCTTATTAAAGCCCGTGTGTTGACAGGCTGTGGCCAGCCCTGCTGCTGCACGGCTTTGCTATCTGTACATGCAGCCCCACAGACGAGAACCCCAGCTGTCTCTCGCTGTGGAGCGCATGCCACAGTTCGCAAAAGGTTTGTCATTTATGTGGATTTCGAGAAGACTTCAGTTGGTGCCTTTGAATGTGATACCAGTTGATATAAAATCCTGTAGGAAAGGAGCTTTGCTGAATTACCTAAAATTAAAATGTGCCTTAAATTAGATGGCTACATTACAAACTTACACGTAAATTTTTATTAAATATGCTTTCTCTCTTTAGCCAACATTTTATGATAAGAAGGCCTATTTATGAGTCAGTTTAGTTTGATAAATGTCAGATAACACTCGTTATCAAGGAGGCAAGAACTCAAAATACAACCAACAATAAGACTTTTTTGAGGAAAGTGCATATTTAATAATACTTTTTAATTTGAGGATATAATGAAGATACAATTTTTATGGAAAGCTTATAGGCTTTTCTCACATAGCACTGGCTTTACTAGTTTTTGTTGATTTCTCCAAAGATAGCTGTGATACATGGTATTTCAAGGTCACTACTTGTACACAGGGGAAGTGGACTAGCTGTGACTTTAGGCAGGTCCATTTACAAACACATCCGTCATGGACAGTCGCCAGTGTTAGGATGTGAGGGCAGCGAGCCGCAAAGAAGACTTAGCTTTTCAGTCAGACACATTCTGTGATCGTTCCTATCGATCCCAAGTGTGGCTATACAGCATTTAAAATATATATTTAAGTTAATTTATACTTTTAAAATATTCAAATATAACATAAATATTTAAAACTCCAGGGGTCAAGGTCACAGTGTTTGATACTCTCCATCAAGGGTGAAAAGCCTTAATACTGAGATAAACTGCTTTCTCTTCATGCCACATGTAGTTTACATATGTACAGTAATCATTGCCACTATCTCTAAAGTTGTTTTAGAATACTACATTTCATACAGAGGATGTGTCCTGTGACTTAGGTAATCTTCTGGTGAGCACTGCTGTGCCTGCCTCTGTTCCTGCTTTTGCCATTTTCTCCCTTAATGCAGAGCTTGAAGGAGAATGGCTATCTTTAAACTCTGAAAGTGGTGTTGAAGCCTATTTAAAAGTACAGAGTTCACTTTTTTGTCATAAAGGTTTTTATATCAAATTTTACAGAGCAATAAAATATTTGTGGACAGGATTTTGAGTAAGGAGAAAACTAGCTAGCTGCAGTTTTAAACCTGTGAATGCTGACTTTCTTCATGAAAGCAATACATTTAGATGTCAAGTCAGCTTGGAATAAGGCGGAGGAAGGGAAGGAGGGATGTGGACGGGAGGCGGGAGGGGCAGGTATGAAGGAGCATGTGCGAAGTTAACTGACCTTTCCCACATAGGAAGTAGTTTCCACAGCAAGCTGTGCCCTTGCCTACCTTCTGCTTTTATTTCAGATGTTCCGTGTGTACCCCATCATTTAAATTCCATGCAAGCTGTGAACTGTGTATCGATCTTCTCACTTATTTGCTTTAGCATCTCCACGAGGCTCCATGAATCATTCATCCAGGTGAGTCAATAAATATTTATTAGATGCTTTCTGCGTATCAGGTGCCGTTGTTGGGATAGAGTTTTAAAAATGGGTTTCTGACATACGGTTGTTTCACACCTACTAGTGAGGCCCGGTGATGACGATAATAACTCACATTTTACCAAGTGTTTCCTGTAAGTCAGACTTTGAGCAAAGCCCTCTGAAGAGCAGGCTGAGGCTGAGAGAAGACAGTGATTTACTGCCTTACGTCTAGGTTAGTAAAAGTCAGGTGTGGGATTTAAACCGCAGGGTTTTTGGGAGGTGGAGGGGAGGAAGGCTAGTGAGGGTGTCTGTCTCTAGGACGCATGCTCAAAGCTTGAGCTTTTGGACAGCATAATATGAACAATT